CCTTTCTATGTAAGTCCTTGCGCAAGATCCTGGGCCTAACGCAAAGAGAAGACAGCAGCAGGAGAACCCGCTACAATGCAGAAATTGTGACGCTGGTGGGTGAGTATCATCGGAGAAGCGAAAGCTCACAAACTCCGATGGCTGAGCCACCTCATAAGGATGGAAGATCGAAATACCAAAGCAGCGTATCTCGGGACCCCGACTGGCCGCCGACCCATCGGTCGGCCCAGATAACGCTGGCGCGACGCCGTAGAGCTGGATCTGCGGGAGCTACAGGCGATGGACTGGCAGGAGAAGGCTCAAGATAGGCGACTTTGGCGATCTCTTATGTCGGAGGCCAAGACCCACTTTGGGTCAATGCGCCAGCGGAGTAAGTACACAACGCATCTGCAATTTCAGATCTCCATCGTTGCCGTGATATTTAAGTAAATTCATGTGTCCGCTTTTTAGTTTGCCCCCTTTTAATATAAAAAATAAGATAAATAAAATAATACAACTATGTGTACGTATTAATAGTTGAGTGCGAGTCCATATCACTTCCTACAAACTTTTAATTAATCATTGAAGCAAAGAGGCAACCGACCGCAGCCGGCGCGGCGTGGGCGTTCCAAATCATTGAGCACAACTCTAAATCTTTACGCAACTATGAACTAACTGATCAAACTACTACCTTTGATCTTTTGCTCACTTCCGATCATTTAAGTATATGTCTTATAACTTTAACTTGAGAACCTTAGTATGCTGCTTGACCCTTATGTTCATTTTGTATAGTATATACATACAACTTTATAAAAATATACGATCACTATAAAATAATTTTAACTTAGATTTTTTTTTATTTCGTTTTTTGCTTTTCTTCAAAAAAGAAATGTTGCCACAATAAGGGTTAAAGTTCAAGTTTTAATTCAATAAAGTTTTTAAAAATTACGAAAACATTTTAGCAATTCCAAGTAATCCATCAGGAGCAATTGTAAAGTTATTGAATTTATTTTAAGTGTATAAAATTGTTTTGTAATTTTGTTTAATAAAAAAATCTGTTCTCAAAATAATATGTTTTTATACGAATCGTGTAAACTATCACAATTTCACAAATTGCTTTTTGTGATAACCGCACGTCGACTTTCTGTAAATATTTAAAAGGGTATAAAACATCGGCTTTAAAATGTAAAGTAAATCAACGGATAATGAAAATAAAATATTCAAAATGTGGTTCATTGCGATAATGTTTTTTTTTTATTATTTGAAAAATGCATTTTCATTCATTACAAAGTTAAACATATTCACAAAAATTATAAAAAATATGTAATATTAGCGGTCGCCTGCAATTTCGTTTGCACTTAATAATTTAAAAAAAATTGTATTTTTTAATATTCCCGTATACATCAGTTACTTTCCCGCCAAAATCCCGTCAGAATCAGACCAGTCGTTTCGGAGATTACCCGGAACAAACGCAGAGTTATGGACAGACAGACTAAAATATTAAACATTGGTTTTCGTTAAAAGTAACAAATGTGTACGACATATGTTTTTTTTTCGATATTACATATTCTCTCATACTCTCATTGTAAAAGTTATATAAAGAGAAAGGCAAGTTTTCAAACAGAATAGATAATAAGTAGAACATTTAATCATGTCACTTGGTCTTCGTGTCAGGTGAAAGAAGTCAGAGAATAAGCATTCACTTTGATATTCTGCTATATTTTTCGGATCAAACTGGCCATTTTTCTAATATTTAAAATAAAATAAAAGTGTTATAAACGAGTAACGTATAAAGGTTACAGCAACAATTTTTCCATCGAGCCAATTCGCATGCAAGTTTCGTCCTGCAGAGCGAAATAACCGTAGTACAGGTAACAGACAAACCGCCAATGAACGGCTATACGTTCAAACGATTTTAAACTCTCCATCGTTGTAATATTGTTTAAAATGGAACTGTACATGTAGTCTTTTTCAAGACATGAAAACTATCGCTACGGTATCCAATTTAAAATAATTTGCATGTGCACTCGGAATTTGTTTTGAAGCACCGTGCGGTTCGGAAGGTACCTTTGTCATAAGTAACTCTGTTGTTTTACTGTTGCTGGTTTCGACTTATAGTATATAGCATTTTTTGGTTAAATTTCTTTTAAAATCAAGTTATGAAAATGGACCTCAATATTCTTACATATATTATTTATCTTTAACGGGCTGTGCCCGCGACTTCGTCTGCGTGAAATACTGTCATTGAGCTGCGCGTATAGCTGCGTTTATAGAACAGAACAGAAGAGAAGAATAATTTTTATTTAAAAATTAAAGCAATGAATTCTTAAAAGTTATTTGGATTTATACATCATAGTTTAATGCATTGTTTTTTTCTATAAAAATATTAAGATCATATCTGGTACGAGAAATAAATCTTATCGTACTAATATTATAAATGCGAATGTTTCGATGAATGATGAAAAAATGATGGCTGTTAGAACGTATATCCAAAATGGCTCAACGTATCTCGATAATTTGGCATATATGTAGAACATAGTTTACACATAGGATACTTCAGTTTTTTTAATCCAACGCGGGCGGAGTCGCTGGCTACAGATATTTATAAATATCTAAAGCGACATCGCGCGGTTTTTGCTAACGGCGTTTGAGTGACACGCGACTAATGCGCGTTTACGTCACGTTACATCTGTTGTGGCAAATAAATTGACCAAGGCTGGCCGTAGAACAATATTGTTAGGCATTTATTGCAACAACATTCATCTAACCACAAATTTGTTGTAGAATTGTTTCGGCATTACGTTAACGATTTACAAACTGTTATAGCACATTAAAATGTTTTTTTTTTAATGTAAAATGAGATGCGATTTTTATATAGTCAAGACAGTTCATTAAAATACTCTCTTAGTGCAGATTTCATATTAAAATCTACACTAAGGTCAGCAATTAAGACAAAGTGTGGCAGTTTATTCTTTTGAATACCAGCACGATTACAGTATATATTATTTACTTACGAATAACTTAATCTAGCTTCAAATTCTTCAATAATATTTACTAATATGTAGTCTTCTTGTGAAAGACTAAATTTGTATCTTAATACTTTATTTCTCTTAAGATAAAAGAATCATTATTTTTTTTTAGTTTTTGTAACAGGAAAAAAGTCAGCGAGAGACATTCTCAGAAGTCATCATGTGGAAAGCTCTTGACATTTCTTTGAGGTGGCGAATAGCTGCAATTTAACAAAGTCTAGTTAGATAAAACCACATGAGGACAGAGGAAAATAAAATACGAGCGTATTAATATTTTATTGAGACATCAAAAAAGTAGACAACTATTTTAAATAGTCAAAGTGTTCAATTGTTTAAATGTTGAACATTAAATCTCGAAAAAGTTTTTTTTTAATTATCCATCCAGCTATTTGATAAAATATTACAATGTTGCTTTTTTGTTTTCCTTTATCTATACAAAAAAGATTATAACTTTCCCATCTATTGAGTAATATTATCAAAAAAAATATGGGAAAGTTTATTCTTTTCTTAATAAATTTCATTCAACTTAATAATAACGAGGATATAAAAGACAGCTCTCCGCAGCGCGCAATAAAACAACAAAGTTTTAATGTTCTACGTAAATATTAACTTTGTAAAAAGGTCTGGTATTCCTGAGTTTTACTTTTGGATAAACAAAAGTGTTACTTAAATATAGCTAATCAAAATAGCCTTATTTATATTGTGTTTTTCTTTTTAACCATGGGTTTACACTGTCGGAACACGTCTTACTAATATCAAAAATACGAATGTGTGGATGTATGGATGGATGGATAGAGATACCTTCTAACAAATATCCATCCATATGAACATAGGCTACTAAGTTTTTTTTATTCAGTGCACACGGAGTCGCGGGTTGCGGCTAGTCTCACATTCATATCAGTTCTTTTAAAAATAAAGAGGAATATAACAATATGTTTTTGTAGTGTAAACCTATGTTAATATCCTTTTTTATGTTAAAACCATATTTTAAAACTGTGATACCTTGAAAGGGAAATCACAATTCTGCACCTTTGACTTGAATACTATTAGTAAATTAAATTTCCTTACTTGGTCTTACCAATGCGATCTCTTTTACTTTATAGCAAGCTTTTGCAAATTGCTAAAAGAGTTTGTTTTTTTTCTCGTCCCACCGTAGAAATGATTACGCGAAATAAAGTTCAATAAAAGTGCAACTTTTGCTCTTTTAGGATTTATTAACAATAATTTTATGAATAGGAAAGATTTCTCATCATATCCTCTCATTCTATTAGTAAAATTCGAGATATACATGTGTCTTAATACAGATCCAAGGACATACGCAAATTTAGTCTTTCTTGTCGAAATACTGGATCACTGTTATGCATTACACAACATCTGTTATTTGTATTTCGTTTACAAGATTGAGTTTCTTAAGTTCGTTTCGTCTCATGTCAATCTAACTCGTGTCACTAACGAATTCACAAGAGTCGACCCTTACAAAGTCTACGGTACAAATTGAATAATTATTAACTAATAGCAAAGGGTCAAAGGGGACTTAAAGTTACAAACTATTAGAAGACGTTAAAGTGGTTCTTGTGTGAAAATTAAATTGTACTATGTTATTATAATCTCGAATATCGTCATCAACTCACTAGACGTCCCCGCTGACAGGCTGGAGCCTACCCTATGTTAGGGGTGACTAGGCCATAGTCAACCACGCTGGCCAAGTGCGGATTGACTTCACACATATCATTGAATTTCAGATATGTGCAGTGATGTTTTCCTTCACCGTTAAAACTTCGGATCGATGTACATATGTAAATCGAAAATAGAAAAACACATTGGTACATGGCGGGATTCGAACTCGGGATCTATAAATTACAAGTCAATTGCTTTATTCCTGAGCCACCGAGAGCGCTCTTCGTCAATATATCTTACACAAAAGCTTGAGTTAAGAAACAGGAATAATTTATTCTGTAAAATGATTGTGAGAAGTAAATAAAAAACTTCACATTTGACACAGACTTTCTTTTATTATAAATATTAATTGCACATAAGAACATTTCATACAAAAATACATTTTCAATTAAAAAGATTCCCACTAAAACAAAATATAAAACCGCAATACAGATAGATCGAAATTGCATAAATATAATAAAAATTTTGTAGCAAGCTAAAATTCATTCAAAACATCCATAGAGGTCCAATACTAACCATATCAGATTTCAAGAACGTTTATAATAAGTACAAAAATAATTACAAATAAAACATTCAAACACTAACTCTTATTACCATAAGATAATTGACAGAACTTTAGCCAAAACTAGCAAATACAAAGAAGCAATGTCTTTTATATTGTTGAAGAGATAAAATTTATTATATTATACATCATTTATAAACGATTCAACAATCTATCTATCTTTATATACATTTGTGATGGTACATGGTAACAATTGAAATCGTTAATGAGAATATCAACAAAAAAATCGATATAAAAATTACGATTCAATCAAATTGAAAATTTCAGATTTGATAGTTACTATATCTAAGAAAATTTGACATAAAATTCAATGACAACTAAATAATTCACTAATAACACGAGAAAAAACTAAATTTAGCATCATCGGAGTTCAATGACACAGAAGCAAAAGACGAATTAAACGACGGAATTACGCAAAGAAGAATAATAAAGCTTTACTACTTAAAAATAAATGAAGGCATTATAACTAAAATATATCTTCCTAAAAGAAATTAAAATCTATTGGCTTTTGAAATCATTCGATTAATTGTACAAAACCTGTCTATGGTAACTTGTGAAAACCTAAATTATATTACGATTAACTAAATATTACATTTTCATAAAGAATTGTGACAAATATTGATGTAAGACATCAACAAGAGATTAAAGGTACGCGTTCATTGACCCGGACGCACCGCACGCACGGATAAGACTTGCTTTGTTTTTCGATGCGGGCCGGATGATGGACACAGCGCTATCCCCATACAAAGCAAACTAAAATCCGTTGCGGGCCGTGCGTGCGGTGCGTCCGACGCGGGCTAATGGACGCTAACCTTTATAATTTTAATAATAGGTATCATGAATGTTTTAGAAGAAGAAAATTTTAGAGTAAACAATAAAATAGAGCGATTAATGAATTTCCTAATTGGATAAGATATTTTAAAGATGAGAAGTCTTTTATAAATTTTAAAATAATATATAATTATACTGAAAAGAGATTTCAAATATCATTTAAGCCATATCGATCAAAGAAGTCGGAATAAAAACGAGATAAATTGAAAAAGAGATTCGAAGAAATTTAACCAAATTCTTAAAGGATTCAAAGCAAATTCTTTTAAACCTGACTGCTCATATCACAACGATTTCACATCAAAATAAGAACATTTTGTTCATTTACTTAAAATTTACACCTATTTTGTTTCATTACAATGAATATTTCTCATAATGTATCTTAACCACGGTATTACGATAACGTGATATTTATTTTTACATGACAATTGAAGGCTGATAATGCTCCTAGAGATATCTTTTTAAAAAGATACGGAAAAGGTAAGATATTTATTCAATTTCTACCTTAAATTATATTGCTCCTAATAAAAAAGCGAGCATTATCAGTCTCCAACATTTCTAGACAACAATGAACTTTACAAAAAATATATGCGACATAATTATTTCGATTTAATGTGGTCCTCCATAAAAATTCAATAACTAGGAAAATTGCGACCAAATATCACTAAACGTTGAACTTACGTCTACCAAGATCACTTCGGAGCGCATTTGCTACGATTTAAGAGATATTGTCCCTATTTTAATTCACATCCGATGTACAAAGTGATTGTCTACATTTGTCTAGTTCAAAATGGTGATAGAAAATTGTATTTATGTCGATTTTGTTCTACTATAAAGTGAATCTTGAATACTTTTCTAACTAAACTTTGATAATCCAGTTCTGAAACTGAATCGGAACTTTAAGATATTATTCAAATCAACCTTTAATTATTAATTCCTTGGTATCACCTTTATTTCAACAAATTTTTACATTTGTATGTTGTTTTTAAAATATCAAATAGTAACAATTTCAATTATTTGATATTTTGATATCTCATCATTGTTTCATATTCTTATTCTAGACAAATATCTTTATTAAGTTCTTCAAATATTATCTTATTCATTGAAGATGATAATAAATATTATTTTTTATTAATTAAAATACAATATTTCAAATAAAAAATTCTAATCACCAAATTGAACTGAACAAAGTCAATAGTCACTTACGTCTAGGATCACAGCGCTCGTTATGTGGAATGCTCGAGCAGGGGTTCGTGTTCGTGCTCGCACACATGCTCGCGAACATGCTCGCCGACTTGTTCAGGAGGCTCGACGGGGAACGAGGTGTGGGAGGAGAGCACTGTGACGTCACCCTCGTCGTTGCAAGCCAGCGGGGAGTATATTACTCCTCGTTTTGTAGATTTTGGACGATTTGCACTACGGACCTACGGGGAGAGTTTTGAATTCAGTAATTACACGATAAAAATGAATGAACGAGAATTAGGAACTGAATCTGAATATTGTTAATTCGATGCATAGCTTTTACTGTTTAATGATATAGCAAAGTTTTTGTATTTTGTTTGTTTTTATGTAGTTTCACTAAATAGACACGACAGTGAATTTTTTTAATTTTTTTTAGAATTTTATCACTGGCAATTATTAATATTATTAACTATAAAATTCATTTTAGACTAATCAATGTTTACGAATACAGATTATAAAACTAAATAGAACCAGAATTAGTAAATTGTAAACGAAAAAACAATTCCATTAGTTCATTAGTTATTTAGCTGTAGTTAATCAAGGCATCCACAAAGCTCGCGTCAACAGAGTGAGCTCGCGACAATGGACGAACAATGGCTTACAGCTGGCTTGCTGGTTTACGGCTTGCCGCCTGACATTTTAGACTGTAGCTAAATTGTTAATCTAGGAATTGTAAAGATCTGAAATATATCTATACATTTATCTTCTTTTCTATCTAGAATAGTGAATACTAAAATCAAATGGTTTATTTATGCGCAACGTTAAATCAAGTTTGCAAGTACAATAGAAGAAAGTTTAACTAAAGATTTAAATTTCTAGTTATACATTTTAATTCGTATACAGCTGTATAAATAAAATATGTATACATTTACAACGTTTCAGAAACTTGTATAATTTCGGTTTCAAAAATATGCTTCTTACGTGGTAACGAATTTTTGAAACCGATGAGGAATAAATTTTTTAAATGTTCAAATATTTATGCAGCGGAATTTAGAAAAATAGCAGTAATAGACCCGGATTAATGAACGCAAATATTCAAGTCATAAGGGCCACCTTTAATGTGTACCGTACTCGGTAATATCATCAAGGAAATCGTCATGTAAAATGTATGTGGTCTACACAAAAGTATTTGGAGTAGAGCAACTGTAATGGAATGTTATAAAAGCTACCTGTAAGACGAACAGGACAGCTAGGAAGACAGCGGCGGCGGCTGCGCAGACTGTGAGGGCGACTGCGGCCGCGCTCGGCGCCGGCGCGTGCTCCGTCTGCAGCGCGCCCCACTCCGCTATGCGCCGCTTGCCCGCCACAGATGAATTTATACATTCCCCTACAGAAATATCATTACATTGTAAATGTTAGTACCAACAAATGAGAAAATGTAAAAAATCCTTCAAGGAAGAGAAAACAAAGAATGAAGATTCGTTAAGCTTTTAGAATGACCTACTTAGTTTTCCCGCTGCGACTATAATTTTTTGATAATTATTTAAATATCATGATAGAGCTTGTCCAACATTTATGTCATACCAGTATCCATATTGCAATGGCAGCAGTCGGAAGCTGACGAGTTAGCGTAGACCCCTCGCTCCGAGCAGCACGGCACGCACTGGTTGTTCAACCTGGACAACAAACCAATAATCCTTTATAACTATACGCTACTTTTCGAGGTTACCGTTAACGTTTTCAAACATGCGTTATTAAGATGTAAAGTAGTCTATATTTTTCCAGACCTGTCAAGTCTCAACGGCCTCGAGCATCCGGAACAACTAAATCTCCCCGGACCAGAGCACGTGCGGCACGTGTTGTCACAGGACAGACAGACGCCGCTGCTGGGCTCATAGTACTGGCTGCCGAGGCACTCCATGCAGAGACCACCGTCGAGCATGAAACGTGGCGGACACGACAAGCAGTGCAGCGGTCCGGAGCCGTCGCACTCGCGACAGTAGTGGTGGCAGCGCCGGCATCCACCCACGCTTTGGTAAAAACCTAACGAACAAACCATGAAGACAAAACTGCCGCATTAGAGTCTTTGAAGAAAGTTTATAGTTAACACATTCTATTTCTTTAAGTAGATTGGTTTAAACTTTCTTCGTCATTACGTTGTAAATAATACTTACCTTGTGGACATTCAGGATGGCACTCCCCAGCTGCCAGTCTCCAGCCCGAAGGGCAGGAGGCGCACTGGTCGCGGCGCGGCCCGATACACGTGCGACATGACAGGTAGCACTTAGCACACGTGCCCCGGTCCGCGTAGTACCTGGTTCATACGACAAGAGAGTTCAATTTCACCTGATGTTAACAGTTATAATGTATCTGTATTTATGTCAGTTTGTAAACTGTCCTTTTTGAGACAATAATATTTGATATTAATTAGTAGGCTCACCCATCTGCACAGGAGGTGCGACAGGCGCCGGACTGCAGACGCAAAGCGCCGGCGCAGGCGGTGCAGTTGAGCCGCGAGACGCACGCCGCGCACCCGTGCACGCAGCGCGTACACCGCCCCGACTCCGAGAAGTATCCGCGGCTGCACTCCGCCACACATCTACAATAATCATCCAACCAAATATTTTACGCAAAAGTAGCTTAAAAATTTATACAAACTATAAAAGTTGTAGTTTTTTTAACTTACTTGTAATTTTCTAATAGGTTCGGCGCCGGACACGTCAGACAATTCGTATCCTCGTCACCATAACAGGAATCGCAGGCGTTGTTACAACGATTGCAACTGGCACCGTCGAAGTATTCGCCTGAACTACACTTGTCAGACCCAGTCTGGATACATTTCCCTTTTTTATTCAACTCCCAGTTGGCATCACAAGACATGCAAAAGGCGCTTATACAAGTAGAACAACCAACAGGACATCTGAAAAATTAAAAGAGTTTTTGAAATCTGTTTTTCTTCCTAAATCTTGTGTTACAACTTGATACTTACTTCATACATTCTTTTCTCTTCTTATCCGCATAATATCCACTAGGACATGCGTTAACACACCGGCCTTCCAAAGAAAAGCTCGAAGGGTGACAAGTCACACACTGAGTTTCTGCAGGACCCTCGCACGTATCACAAGATGAATGGCACTTAGCACACGAGTAATCCTCAGTTTCAAAGTACGAGGGTGGACAGGACGCCAAGCATGTACCATTATGCAAAACTAAGTGATGCTCACACGAAGTGCACGAGTCGGCTTTATCGGAACACGTCGAGCAATGAGCGGCACAAGGCCTACAAACTGAAGACTCGCTGTCCTCCCAGTAGCCATCGGGGCATTGCTGCAGACACACAGCCAAATCTGCGACCAGCAAATGAGCTGGAGCACAAGTTAAACAAGAATCTTGCCCCGGTCCTACACAAGTCTCGCAAGATTCATGACAAGGCCAGCAAACTGCGCCCTGGTTTGCAAAGCTCCGTGGTGGGCAACGAGAGACACAGGCATCGTCGAGACGATAGTGTTTACAAGCTATGCACTGTGTTGGTCCTTTTCCATAGCATCCTTGGGTATCGCATTCGGGATCACATTCATGCATGACGCGCTTATCATTACTATCAGCGAGGACATTCTCCCCATGCGGAGAAGGGACATTATGTCCATCGAGTTGGGCTATCGCTTTTTCCGGGTCTGAGCCGGCAGCGAATAAACTAGGAAAGTTCTGGTAATTGGCAAACGCGTCAGTGTTGTAAAAAGAATCCCCGGCAGAATCATAGCCATCGGCGGCGGTTGGGAATGCAAAAGGCGGAGCGATAGCTGACGGCTTTTTGCCTCTAAGTCTAACCGGTTCGACTGAAGTGCCATAAAATATTAACTGCCATTTCTTTAGTACGCCGGGTTGATTGACATGTCTGTTTCCAGCATTTACAATGTGTAATGTCCATCTACCTTCAGCGCGTTCTCCCCAGAAATGAACACTTAAGAATGGCCAATCGTCAAAATTAGAACTCACGACATCCCTCGGTCTTTCGAAGAGAAGTGTTGACGTTGTTCCCATAGGAGACGTGAGAAGGATTCGCAGATTTCCTCTAGGGAAGAATCTTAGTGATATTTTACATTGCACGTGTTCTAAATAGCGTACTTCGTTCACAGTTGCGCTACAACCATTTACATCCATGTGAACACTTAAAGTATAACCATAAGACGAATCTATTGACTTATCTTCGTTAATTTCTTGTGACTTGCAAATATGCTGTGGCGGTACCGACACCCATTGTTCCGCTAAACTAACCATTTCTGATGCGTCCATCAAACCGTAACCAAATTTGTGGCTTACTTTTCTTTTAACCCCATTTATAATCCAACCTGTTTCTTTTTCTAAAGGTTGTGGTCGTGATGTAAGGACAACTAGATATTGCATATCTCTCCAGGTCAATTCGGGATTAGCTTCTAAGGCCAATGCACAAATTCCTGCCGCTAAAGGAGCAGATGCCGATGTTCCAGTATGCTCTACGGTGCATATGTGATCAGGTCTCAATCGACCATCCATATCAACGGTTGCGACACTCTTATCATGTCCTGGTGTACCTGAGCTGTAGGTGGTGGCAAGAGTAGACGAGCATTCTTCAAGGTACCACGGCTTATATCCTCCTTGAGTAGCACTAGAGATAGATAAAGTGAAAATACTGTTTGTATAACCGTCACAATTGCAAGAGTCTGTATGTCTACCACCATTTCCTGAAGCCCATACAAATATACTGCCTTTTCCCCGTCGGCCACTTGTAACACCGTAAATAAAGGCCCTACAAGAAAAATATAAAATTTAGACAAAATCAATTACTGTAAAAAACTAGATATTTAATAAAACTAAAAATATACCTTCTTGCTAATGGTCCAGGACCATCAACTGTCTTGCCATCATCTTCAGGTCCCCATGAGGCACTGTATATATCAATATGATCAGGATTTAATCCTAATGCTCTAGCTTCAACAGCATCGTTCACTACACCATCTAACATCCTTACACCGCCTATACTGGCATTGTAAGCTATACCGACACCACAATATTGGTTATAAGCTACTCCAGCAACTTCTCCTGCACATCTTGTACCGTGTTTGTTATCTCCATTGTCTTGAGGCATTGGATCGTCATCGTTGCCATTAATATCTGTTGAAGCGTTAGCATCCTGTAAAAGTATATGCGGTATAATCTAGTGTTTCCCTTTCTTTATCTAAATTAACCGATTTGATACTTACGTAATTTTGCGCAAGATCTGGATGATTCGTTTGGATACCATCATCAAGAATGGAAACCACCACACCTTTACCCGTGTAACCTTTTTGCCAAGCCGGTGCCACGTTCATGTCTAGACCGTCTTTTGCTCCTCCATTCTACAAATATATTTAGGTATTATAATAGATTACAGTGATCTTAATAATGACTCATGAACTAATGAAGAAATTATGTCTACTACAATATGATTTAATCGTCAGATTTTATATGATCGTGTCTTATGCAGATGTAATTATGTATTAAAAATCGCAAGTTTTTTGATTGGAATTATACTTTAAGGGAAGGTAACATACCAAATACCATTGTTCCTTGAACAATGGATCGGGGAAGAAAGGCGTTGGGTTTAAGGCTCGGTGTCGGGTGCGATGGGAAGGCATACGACGACTGAACTGTGACCAGAGGCCGGCATCTCGCTGAGTGTAGTCACGCTTTACTCTCCGCCGCTCTCTTTGCTGTTGGAACCATCGTACCTGACAACAACAGTTATATTAAAAAAAATGACAAAACGCAGTGACTAAACCCTTGTGACATTTAGTAAAATAATAAGACTCAAATGACACACGCGTCTTCATCGCTTCCTTATTACCTATACGATTTTTTTAGGTAGAAGAAGATAATCAAACTCAACATAATAACCATTTCATCAACTTCAATTTATTTAAAAGAATTTAATTTGGTTGTTATTTATATGGAAAAACATATGCAATATTCCTCAAACGTACTCTGTAGAAGCAATTTTGAGTTACTTGGAAAGAACACTAGAAACTTCTTTACATCGTAGAATATGCAATTCTTTATATCCTTTATTCTAAACAAGTCGTCTCGCGTACATTCGGACGGGGCAATTTCACAGTTGTTAGAGAGCGACAGACGTCCGAGGGAAAAATAGCTCGCTACTGCAAATAAAAAGCTTTTGACGCTTTTATTTGAATTTGTTTGTTATTCTGCATGTCGTGCATCAATAGTGATGACAAAAAATTTATGCTGATATCGAAAACTAACGAAATCTTAATTATTATTGTATTATAAATGTGAAAGTTTGGATGGATGGATGGAAAATATACAACATAGTTTAGACGAACGCATGGTCTATTTACAATTTTTTTTTAATTCTGTATGAATATAGAAGAGGCGAAATCCGTTTCTTCATTGCCTCTGGGTCAAAGGCATCGGATATTTTTTTTTAATTTCAAAGGTCACAAAATTAAATAGAACTTACCTCAGGTTCATCGTTCAGCTTTCGATGGTGTTCGTGGCTCGGCTCCGCAGATCTTTTATGTACTTCGTGGTGCGACAGTAAATAGTAACCTTTTAGTGAACCGATCTGCGAAAGGAAATGCTTATTAGTTACAGAGATATGCTTGAATAGAGAGATCATAAAGTGACACAATAAAGAAAACTTGGATGCGAGTTTCACATAATTGTTACAAAATATTATATTCCATTACTAAAGTACTTAAAAACATTAACTTTCTAAATTGTTTCAACATTAAATCAATTTAATATTCAACCATGACTAATCTGTATATTTGAATTACAAATAACATTCGCTCAATATTTTTTATCGTGAGTTTCGATAATTGACGGTAACACGACTTAATTGAAGGACATTGCACAGTAGACTTATTAATAATTAGAGCGGTCCTAACGAAAATTGATAATAAAATGTCACAGTAGCATGACGTCTCAATTAATCAGAGTTTAATCAAAATTCCCGGCGAACAATAAAGGCGGTAACACTTATTACTGGAGGCGAGAATCGATTTCACTCTATCACAAGATCTCTCACTTCCCTACTACCAACTGGAGGGCCCTTGAAAAGGGCAAACGATTAAATTTAATCTTTACAGTCAACCCCTTAAAATTGAAACGATATCATAAAAGGGTAGCCACTAGGCAGCGATAAACGAAACGAAAGAGTTAATAAAAAATATAAAAAAAAAACAATAGCTTACTATTGCAGAAAAATTAATTCATTCGCTTTTTTATAAATTTAAGTAATTAATGATATTAAAAAAAAAGATCTAATTCACAAAATTTTAATGATAAGAAACATTTTCATTAAATTAGATCGCAATGAGTTATTTTTTTTTAATATAAAAAAAAATCGCAGCAATTCCACGAAGTGACTTACAAAAAAGCAAGGGTAGCACACTTTCGGCATAATAACCGCAATTTGTGTGTATTATATGTGTGATTTATTCGCCGACCCATCCGGCTCCGAATGCTTTCGGGTGTGGGCTATTCGAGTGCTTTCAACGGCCCATAAGGCACGCGACGCTTATCGTAGCAATCTTTAAAGCTTACCATCATATAAACTAAAAGGTCACACATTTTGCTTAATTGAATTAGTTACCAAATCCTTTGAGACAGCGATTCCTAAACTTTTAGACGAGAAAAAATATTCTCATTTTACGGAACATAAAATTATCAAAATTTGACAATTTCCATTAAAATTATAAATAATATTTAATGAAAATAACATTTAAATATTGCATTCAACTAGAAGCAATTTCGCGAACGTCTGTCTAACATTTAATACAATGTTTTGTAAAAGCAATTAATTCCACAACATAGAGAAATCGTATATCTACAAATACATATAACAAGAAGACTTGAAAATATAAAAGTTATCTTGTACGTTAAGGGAACCGTTTACGGACCATATTTCCGCAGTTTATTAACGTAAAGACCATAACTCGTAAGTACCGACTCGCTCGTTATTTCTAGTGTCAGTTAAATCTGAGCAGTTAGTTCCTTGCTAACTGCGCAGTTAGCTTCTTACCTCTAAGTCTTAAAGCATAGATGTAACAAGGAAAAGTATAGAGTATAAATCTGTACAGTTAATAAAACTGAAGTGTCTGTATGTAATATCGTAAAAAAAATTCGTGTACTTGATCGATTTGCTTTACCTATAAGGAAAAAACAATTTTTTACATTTTTGTTTATCTGTCTGTAAATCTGCAAGGCCGCGTTTGTTCTGAGTAATCTCCGAAACAGTTGAACCGAACTTGAAAACTTTCACAGGAAGGTAGCTGATGTGTGAGGACATATTATAGAGTTCTGTGCTGACGAAGACGCGGCTACCGCTAGTTTTACACTATAAGCCGATTATAGGATTACTAGATTATTGTCATTTTGATGTTTTAAACCAGAAATTTATAGCTATTATTACTTACATACAAAAGCAAAATTGACATGTATGTACATGTGTTGATATGCAAATGTTTGAATATAGTACCAAACTGTATATATCACAAATATCAGCGAAAATTGATGCAAGCTTTTGCTATATTCAACGAATAGCAAACCGCAAAAATGAACCTTATTACAAAGTATCAGGGTTTCTAGCACAATAACAAGTACTAATAGTAATGAAAACTCATCGAATGAAATAGTGTTTGAAATAATTAACACGCGTACAACCCTAGAGACCACTTAAATGTTTCAAAGTTCACTAATAAATCTACAAGTCTAAACATGTTCAAATTGTACAACAGTAATAAACACGTTTCTAAAGTTTAAATTAATAAATCTAGTAATAACTACACGGTGTGGTTTCAACTTGATGTAACTTCGTCCCATTGTAAAACAAAGTCTAGTACAATGCATGTACATACACGGTGTACCGTCCCGCAAGACCTTCGGGGGAGGTAGACATAGACAGATAATAACAAGAAAGGTCAATCCAGGGATTAAAGTCATGTATAGCAACTAAAGACCTTCAAGGTTATCTGACCCGGTGGGCATAAGTCGCACCAAATTATAACTCATAACTAACTAACGTCCCTTGCAATATCAAACAAATTGTAACGTACTATAGTTGTTATGTCCTGGTTTTATTCTTTTATAGCATTTTCTTCGCCCATGAAGGTTTCACATATTTTCTGACAAAAATAACTGCGATAGTAGCGCCCGTTATTGGGCCTGATATCGTAGTTGGACTCTATTTAGTGAACAATTCAGTTTTCTATATATAGTGTTAAGCTGACTAGTTACATTTATCTCTGTTTATTGATGAAAAATGATAGGGTGAAAATCATGTTTAAAAGTGTTTCTAAGATGGAACCTCTGTTACATGATTTATTCAACATTTGTAGTATAAATAAATTTTCTTTAGATTTCCTCAAAACTTTTAATTAATCGAGCAAGTTTAGTTAGTGCCGCGGGCGCGAGTTCGACCGAGTTCCGAATCATTGAGCATTGCTCAGATTCTTTACGGAGCCGTGGACTCACCGATGAAACTCTCACCTTTGATCTTTTCCTTTAGTGCTAAACTTCGCTCAAACTTTTACAAGAAAGTGTTCGCAAGTGTAAATTCAATAAAGCGGAATAAAGATATTGTAAAATTTGTAATCTGTTTTGTTTACTTTATTTCATGGTTATTAAATGTCAACTCAAACTTTATAGAAATATATTTTTACCGATTTAAAGTAGTATAAGATTTTCTAACCTTTTGAAATACATATGTTGTACGCTTACCGACATCGATAGTGCAAATCGACTTCCGAAAGATAGATCGGATTCTTCAATTGCTTAAAGCATTTTAATTATTCGAGATCGATAATTAGGTTCGGTTAAATATAATCTTAATTCGAAGCACGTCATTGAAAGGCAAAGTCGCGAATTGGTAGGGTATGTTACAAATTCTATCCTCCCCAAACCGGGTAACTCGGTTAGAACTGGTTTCAACCGTTTAATTTACAAGGCACCCAACAAATTAATATCTAAATGATTTAGACCCTTGTCAACTGCGAGCATGGGATCTAGAGCCGAGCATAACTCGTGCCCTCATCATCATAAAGCCGATTATTGAGCGGTTATTTGATTGTTAGTCAGATTATCTTTGTCAACAGAGATTTGTCGAATTTACGCATTTCACTAAGAAGATTCAATACGACCCTAAGTAAAAGGATGACAATTTTTGTAAAAGATGTTAGGATACCTATCAGAGAGAAAACATGTCAGAAAAAACCGAAAATATTTGGTGACTGAACTAAAAGACAATTGAAAAGACATGTATCTAAGACATGCATACGTGCATTTTGCAAAAGCCACGCTGACGCGGAGTACATTTCATTAATGTACGAAGACAGTAGGCCTTTACGGAGAATTTCAGTAGAATACGTCTACTGTTTTAGACGGCTTCAAAAACTACATTTTGTTAATACTAACCTTATATTTTACTTCAAATCTAGATTTAAAAGACTTGATCATAGAAAAAAACACGTAGCTTGTCTGTTACTACTAAAGTAAGAACAAAAAAGGTGACTTAAAGTAAAAAAAAAATCTTATACAAATTGGTCAGCTCTTTAGAGATAAATTACTTTAAAATGTCCCATCAAAGCGTTATTAAATATAATGAAAGTATGATTAACTAACCGTGAGTTTCTGATACCAAAATCTCTGTACAAAATATATCGTTATCCGTGTCACATTATCTTGAATAAATCAGATAACAACATGTTTTAAATAGGGATGTTAGTTTCAGAAACTCACGGTAAGACATATCGGTTCTCTTTTCGAAATATCTAAATTGTTCCGTTATCAAACAGTAGCCATAACAATCGAAGCGTTGCATACCTCCAGCATTGCTGTCAGGTAAATTCGCTGCATTGCACAAATAAAATAGGAAACCGTTTAGGTCCATTGCTCGGGATAGGGACATATTTTATCGTCTTTTTTTATAACCAGTGAAAAATACTTTTACAAACCAACTCTATTCTCTTTACGAAAATTATCACTTTCTTCTTGTGTTTACAATTTCGTATATCAATCAAAATAAATTAACGATTAATCTAAACGGTGACAATAGTCGGTAGAATCGCGGCAGATAATTTAAATTTAAATCTGTATTGCGTGTAAACAATCAAACCATTTTAAAGTTTTTTTTTTTTTATCATAAGGTGGCAAACGAGCGAGCGGCCACCTGAAATCGCTGGAATAGCGAAGCGACCGCTGCCCATAGGCATACGCAATTGCATATGCATTGCCTACCTTTAATCGCTGGAGTAGAGGATGCACAGAAAGAAAATATTTTCCCTTCATATGCATCCTCTCATCCGGAAAGTCCACTACCACTTTCCATCTTTTCATTAAAAGAAAAATGGAGGGAATAGAAAAAGGACTAAATGAGACCTCCGGGACGCAAAAAAGCAGACTTTAAATGACAATGGGATATGTTTTCCCTATCCACATCTTTATTATTCATTCTCCAAACGAGTCGTAGTCATTGTGAGAACACGTAGCTGGAGAAAACATGTTTCAAAAATGAAACTAGAATACAGATTGACGTACACAAAATTTCTTACATCTCATCGATTG